CTCCTGCATGCAGGGATCACAGGCGTGCGCCACCATGCCTGGCACTTGTGTTTTGAGACAGGGTCTTGCTGGGTAGTTCAGGCTGGCCTTGAACTCACAACACAGCCCAGGGTAGCCTCAAATTCATAGTGATCTTCCTGCCTCATTTCTCCCAAGCGTTGGGATTGCAGGCGTGTGCTACCACCTCTGGGAATTCCATTATTTCTGTAGCACCAAAGTTACAGGTTATGGGTCTATGTTTTGTTTTTACCTCGTGCATACTAGGTGAGAGCTCTACTGCTGAGCTGTATCCCTGGCTTGGCAAACAGACCCTTTGAAAGGCCTTCCAAAGTGATTAAATCCGTGACATTTCATTTCCCAGGAGAAGCTGACAGCTTTGAGTTTTAATGAGATCACTAGAGGGCGCCCTGCAAGGCAGTCTAGTATGGAAGCATTTCCTAATTTCTGCAAGTTTTTCCGGGTTGCTTAAGAGCACAATCCATCTTTAGGTTTTACATTATACTTGAAAAATTTTTTAATGGGACCAGAGATGTAGGTCAGTGGCAGAGAAGTTGCCTAGTGTGAGAGGCCTGAGCTTTTTCTTTGTTTTTTCCTGGTACTGGGAATCAAACTCACCACGTCGCGCTTGCCAGGCTGGCACTGTGCCGCTGAGCTAAATCCCCAGCCCCCAGGCCTGAGTTTTATCCCCAGCAATGCAATCAATGAGTGTGCCTCTGTTAGTGTTTGACAGTCAGTTTCAGATCTAACTGCACACCCACCTCCTATCCTCGGAAGAGACTGATACTTAACACTGATTAAATATCTCTTCTCTGTCGCAATAGTTCACCACTGACAGTGTATCTTTTTTCCTCCCTGTAAATGGGTTTTCTTTCTTTCTTTTTTTTTTTTTTCTTAGTTTTTAATTTTTTTGGTTTTTTGAGACTGGGTCTCCCTGTGTAGTCCAACCTGACCTGTAGTCCAGCTCAGGCTGGCCTCAAATTCCATGGTGATCCTCCTGCCTTAACCTTCTGAGTGTTGGAATTACAGGTGTGCCACCATACCTGGTTTAAACAGATTATGTTAGAGCATTTTTTGGTTATGGCAAAACAGCAAAGTACAGTTCCCATATATTCTTATGTCTTTCTCACCTTGTTTTTCAGATTCTCCTCATTGTATTCCTATCTTTCTATTTCTGAAACAATTCAAATTGTATTAGTTTTTAATGGCTCAACTCAAATTTCTATGTTGATTTTTTATCACTAGCCAATCACTTTTGTCCCAGTAGGGCACAGTGGCACACACCTGTAATCCCAGCACTTGGAGGCTGAGGCAGGAGGATCGTTGTGAGTTTAGGGGCAGCCTGTACTACATAGTAAGACCCTGTCTCAAAAAACAAAAATAGACAATCCTTTTTGTTGCTTAACATTTCTGCTCAGTCATGCTCTCAGAGTTTTACCTGCTCAAGTTCAGCAGTGATTACAGATTTCAAACTAGGGAATGCAGGCACAATTAGTATGAAGAAAAATGGTTTCCAGGTCTTTTAGCTTCCACATGTACCTAGAAGAATGTATTTTCAGTCTATTTTAACATTTATTTAGTAAATCTTAGCTAAGACTTTGGTTACTTCGCAGAAACTGAGAAAGTAACTTTACTTATTTTTTGAGACAGTGTCTTGCTATGTAGTCCAGGTTGTCCTTGAACTCAACATGTAGCCCCTAGCTGGCCTCCAACTGGAAGCGGTGCGCCTGCCTCAGCCTCCCAAGTGCTGGGACTACAGGCATGCACCACTGCATCTGGTGCTTTATTATTTTTGGTTAATGATTACGTAAATTTGGTGTGAAAATGTTTTTAGAAGTTTGAGACACTGGTACAGCAAACCCCCTTCCACTTGTCTCTTTATATTTATGCTAAGATATCTCTGTTGTCTTCTATGAAAAAACTAGAATTATCTTTGACCATAAATGTTAAAATAAAGTTCAGTGGAGGAAGAACAAAAATGCAATTACAGATTTAAGGAGAAAAAATCAATGAAGCCGGGCGTGGTGGCGCAAGCCTGTAATCCCAGTACTAGGGAGGCTGAGGCAGGAGGATTGTTCCAAGTTTGAGACCAGCCTGGACTACAAAGTGAGCTGAAGGCCAGCCTGAACTGCATAGCGAGACCTTGTCTCAAAAAGCAAAAAAAAAGAAAAAAGCAATGAAAATATCCATCTTTTGGCGAGATTAGTCTTGTTTTTTCTGGGTTTTTTTGTACCAGGAATTGAACTCGGGACCCTGCGCTTGCCAGGCAGGCATTTATGCCACTGAGCTATATCCCCGGCTCCTATTAATGTATTTTAAAGTAAATGTTGATGGTACCAAGTCATCATTGGGCTTTTTTTTGTTGTTGTTGTTAGTTTTTTGAGACTAGGTCTTTGCTGTATAGTTTAGGCTGCCCCTTAACTAACTGTATAGCCCAGACTGGCCTCGAACTAGGGGCAATCCTGCCTCAGTCTCCCAGACGTGGGTCACCATGTCTGGCTCTTTTGTTATTTATTTATTTATTTTACTTCATTTCTTTCTTTCTTTTTGTCTTTTTGAGACAGGGTCTCGCTATGCAGTGCAGGCCGGCCTTGAGCTCTTTGTAGCCCAGGCTGGTCTGGAACTCACAATGATCCTCCTGCCTCAGCCTCCTGGATGCTGGGATGACAGGCCTGTGCCACCACGCCCGGCTCTCATTATTTTTGAAAGAGCGACATAACATCGTTAAATGCCAATATTTCTGATAATGTGTATTACATATTTTGCTACTATTTATGATGAAAATTTAATTTTTAACTAAAAAGTGCGATTTGGTATGTAGTTTTTAACAATTCTTTTTATTAGTATGCAGGCATACATACCATTATTTCCGGGTTGCAAAATACACTGATAGACCAGTATGAACGTTTTTAAGTATACGAACCGACAAAATTAAACGGCAACACCACAGGTGTGCGGGGGCGGGCTTGCAGTACATCTTCAGAGTTGCTGACCAACCACGCGGGCTACTTTTCTTCATTTATACAAGGATGTCAGTGCTCTACTTCGTGGTCCACAATGCAAGCGGGGCCTGCCTCAGTACAGTCAGCGGGCGCCGCAGAGCTACCAACAAATCGTCTCACGGAACCGTGGGCCCGCAGCACGCTAGCACATCGCTTCTCCCCAGAGCAGGGGCGATTCTACCCAGCAAACGGTGGCCAGGGTGCGGACGGGGATGTCGGCAGGGCCAGCCCGCCACTGTTCCGGAATCCCTCCCTACCGGCTGTAGTTGCGTGGGTCTGGTGGGAAGCCGGTCGCGGGGTCCTGGCCCGCGGTCACCGCCGCGGCTTACCTGGCGCAGCTGGCTGGACGCCCCAAAGGACTTGCATACCCCGCGGGCGCCGCGCAGAGCCTGCCGGAAGCGGCGCGCCTCGGCCGCTTTGTTGCATGTGCTGTTACGTCACTTCCGCCGCACCGCCCGTCGGGCCCGCCCCCAACGCCGGTGTAACCCAGGGCAACGGCCTGCGGGCTGTTGTGTGTCGCCCTAGCCCGCTGGCCGGGACTATCCGCTCCGGGGCTTTCCACCCTACGGAGCTCCCTATGAGGGTGTGAGGGTCGCGTTCCCGCTCGTGGAGCAACGCCGCAGACCACTCCGCGGGCGGCAGAGAGAGAGAGAGGGGGTCTATCCTAAAGGAAGCCACTGTCAGAGGCGAGGAAGCAAAAAGGGGAAGGAACTGCGGTGGAGACTGGACCAAAAGGGAAACAGCTGGGTGGGGAAGAGGGAGGGGAGGGGAGGGCGGGATCCTGTGGGCGTGGTCAAGAGGAGGGGCGGGGTCTTTGTGCCACGGTACAAGGCGCTGAAGGAAGGGGAGGGGCCGGGTGAGGACGAATGGAGCCGGGAAGCAGGGGAGGAGCCTGGTGCGGAAGAGGTGGGACCTGCAAGGGAGAGGCGGTGCGATTGGAGGGAAGGGAGACGACCGGCGTGGAGGGCTTCTGCAGAGACAGGTGGAGTGTGTGTTTGATGATTTGTACTTTCATGTATGCTGCAGACTGAGAAGAGAAAGTGAAAAAACTGGAGACACATAGGAGTAGAAATAACCAGTCGGCCGAGTGGTCGCACAAACCGCGTTCTGAGAACTACAAAGCGGCGCCGGGCGTGGTGGCGCGCGCCTGTAATCTCAGCACTTGGGAGGCTGAGGCAGGAGGATCGTCCCGAGTTCAAGACCAGCCTGGGCTACAAAGTGAGCTCAAGGCCAGCCTGAACTGCATAGCGAGATTCTGCCTCAAAAAGACAAAAAAAAAGAACTACATAGCGGCTATGTCCTGTAGACATAAGGCCCAGATGATTAACATAGGAAGATAGAATTTGTACTCTTGGAAACGTGAACAGATTGTGCTAGTTGGGTAGTGCGTGTGCGTAACTTTGAGGCAAACGTCCACCCACCACCTTGCCAGTGTGTACCAAACTTTGCGAGATTGGAGTCCCAACAGGGTTTTTCTGTAGAAACTGTCAACAGAAATCAGAATGACCAGGCGGGGTGTGCCTGTAATCCCAGCACTCGGGAGCTGAGGTGGGAGGATCGCTGCGAGTTCGAGATCAGCCTGGGCTACAAAGTGAGCTCAAGGCCAGCCTGAACTGCATAGAGAGACCCTGTCTCAAAAACAAAAACAAAACAAAACAAAACAAAAAACAGAAATCAGAATGCCCAGGCCAACTTCAAGACCTACTAAACTGGTTGCTATGTGTGAAGCTTAGCCTGATATTTACTGAACTCCACCACGGCTGACAGTGTTTCTATCTATCTATCTATTTATTTATTAAACACATGGGCTAATAGAAACCTTTCTCTGGCTGAATTCTGCCAGCAGATTCAAGGTTATTTTAAACCTGCAGTTTCTAGAAGCGTAGAGCTAGTGAATGTCAAGCTAATGAGAAGTTGGGGCAAAGTGATAACGAGTTTTAAGGAATTACTGCCTGATTTCGACTTAAACACCCTGGACTTTGTCTTTTTACCCATCAGTATTCTTCGGACCATTACTAATACAAACAAAACATGGACAGAGAATGAAGAAGACCAAGATTTTTGACCATGTTAAAGAAAAAAATCTTAAAGTTGTAGTTGATCTTAATATTGGTATTAGTCAAGATTGGGATATAGTTTTTCAAAAATATAACAATATTCGTTGGTGTGTTCTTAAAATTAGTAGTTTAGTAATCGTTGATTGATCTATAGGTGTAAGTTTCAGATCAACATGAGTTATGTTTCAAAATAGACACCTACAGTCCATCCACATAGGAATTGCTACCCTCAGTTCCAGGCTCCGCACTTTAAGACATTGATAAGTAATCGTGTCCTTAAGGTGATGAAAAATTTGAGATCTGTGTCTGAAGAAGTGGTAGCTGTCTTTGGTTGTGTGTGTGTGTGTGAGTGTGTGTGTGTGTGTGTGCTGTTTTTTTTTTGAGATCGGGCCTTGCTGTGGAGCCCAGGCTGTCCTCAAACTCACAGAGATCCTCCTGCCTAAACCTCCCAAGTGCTGGGATTACAGGTGTGCAGCACCAAGCCCAGCTCCAGAAAACTCTTCAGTTATTTCAGCTTTATCTTGGCGGCTTGGAATGTGACCTATGATTGTATAGTTCCGGGGTCAACCAGATTTGAGAACTTCTGCACACAATTTGGAAATACTCTGGTCTTCTGGCTCTTTCTCTACCATAGTTTCCTTTCTATCTGCTTTAGTTGTCCTGAACTCTGACCCTTGGTTCTTGAAGCCAATTCCTGTCTTGAACCAAGATGGGAAACTGTACAAAATGTGAGACTAACTCAGCCTTCTCTCTTTCCCCAAGCCTAGACTCCCTCCATGTCTGCTTGTTTCGGCATGCCCTCTAGGACCTTTGGGGAACTGTTTTCATCGTCTTAGTTATCTTTTGGAAGAGTGGTCCACTGGAAGCTTCCTCTTTTACCACAAGCCCATGCCTACCTGGTTTCTCTTCAGTTTTACTCTACCTTTTCCATTCTCAACTTTAGTGCAGGCTGGTCCCCCTTATAGTCTAATATATATTTATAAATAGCCTCTTATGGTTCAGAAATGACTTGAATATTTTTTTTCCTTTGTGACTAGCAGGACAAAAAGTTTGTTTTTCCTGTCTGTACACACACACAAAATTCTGTAATTCTTTTTGATTGAGCCAACTTAGATTACAAGCCTGTTTGCGAAGTATTTATTTTTATTGAAGTTAAAGTCGCATAATATAAAAGTCATGACTTTAACCGTTTTTAAAGTGCACCATTCAATGGTGATTTTAGGAATATTCAGTCTTGTGTAGCCATCACCACTATCTAATTCCAGCACATTTTCATCATCCCAAAAAGGAGCCCCCCCCCAGTTCCCCACTCAACCCCCCTCTGATGTCTCTAAATTTACCAAATCCTCAATATTTTATACAAACAGAGCCATGCAATATGTGGCCTTTTGTGTCTGGCATCTTTCACTCATCATAATGTTTTTGAGGTTCGTTGTGTTGTAGCAGGTGTCAGAACCTCATTGCTTTTTATGGCTGGATAATCAGTATTGAATGGTGCCATATTTTATCTACTTATCCAAGATCCATCGCTTAGCAGGCATTCAGGTTATTCCCAGTTTTTGCATGTTAAACCAATGTAAAGTCAGTAAATTCATCCTCTTTCCAAATTACTACTCTTATATCCCCACTTTACTTCCTAAAATAATTACTAGGTTTTTTTTTTTTGGTTTTGGTTTTTCTCCGGTACCGGGAACCGAACTCACGACCTTGCGCTTGCCAGGCAGGTGCTTTGCCGCTGAGCTAAATCCCCAGCCCCAATTACTAGTTCTTCACCTGCATGGTGGTGCACACCTGAAGTCCCACTTACTTGGGAGGCTGAAGCAGGAGACTGGAAAGTTCAAGACTAGGTAATTTAGCAAGACCCAGTCTCAAAATTTTTAAAAAGGAAAAGGCTAAGAATGTAGCTTGGTGCTCCCAGTCTAATTTTCAGTGCTACAAAAACAAAAACTACTAGTTCCCGGAACAAGAATATGCAGAAATCACAACCTGCATTCATTCCTGGTGGCAATGACAGATCGTTTTGTAAATATCTGAAGAACAGTTTGGTAGCCCCTCATAAAGTGAAATAAGATTATCGCGCAACTTGACACTTCTGCTGCTAGATACTCAAGAAAACTGAAAACAGCTACCACCACTGACTTGATGTCAGCACAGTATCATTGGACAGTTGTGGTATAGGCGCATAAGGATACTCTACCTAGCTGGGTGTGGTGGCGCAGTATGTAATCACGGCTCTCAGGAGGCTGAGGCAGGAGGATGCCAGGAGTTCCAGGCCAACCTGGGTTACATAGCAAGACCCTGTTTAAAAAAAAAAAAAAAAAAAAAAGAAGAAGGAGAAAGGCAAACCTGAGCCTACATTCCTTAGTGCGTTGTACACCCCACTGCAAGAGATCTAGCGTTGTAGTCCTTTCTGTCACTGACGCAAAATACCCAAGAAAAGCAACTTAGGGAAGGACGGGTTTACTTCGGCACATAGATGCAAACTTTGAGCCCATGGTCAGTTAGTTCCCTTCCTTCAGGCCTGTGGGGACATCGTGGTTGAAGGGTGCAGAGCAAGCTGCTGGCTTCCTGGTAGTGGGAAGCAAAGATGCTGCCGAGGCTTGACCGGAGACCCGCTTTCTCTTCTATCTTCGCGCCTCTGTCAGGTGCCTCTGCCTATCAGATGACTCCACCCACCTCCGGGGCGGGCCTCCTCCCTCCATTTGCTGCCTCACACGCCAGTCATCCCTGGAAACGCCCCACAGACACCCAAAGAGGCGCCTTACTGATTTCCTGGCGGTTCCCAGCGCAATCGCACAACTAACCGTCACACAGAAGGTGTGCCAGTGTCTTCCCATTCGCTTCATCTCTAGCTTTGGCCTTTAGTTAAATCCATTACTCTTTTATTAAAGTTAGCCTTATCTTTATTTCCTTTTTGCAGTTGTGAGGATTGAATCCAAGCTGTGCTGCACATGCCAGGCAAGTGCTCTACCGCTGAGCCACATCCCAGCCCAGCCTTGCTTTTGGCAGTGGATGGTGATGTAGTGCAATATTGTTCTCAGTGCATTTCCAGCTATCTTAATCATGCTTCACCTGAGTTAATTGCTTTTTTAAAAAAATTAACATTAAGCCCGGCGTGATGGCACATGCCTATAATCCCAGCACTCGGGAGGCTGAGGCAGGAGGATCATTGCAAGTTTAAGACCAGTCTGGGCTACAAAGTGAATTCAACGCTATCCTGATTTGCATAGCGAGACCCTGTCTCAAAAAAAAAAAAAAAAAAAAAAATTAAAAACTAAGCTCAGCTGGGTGTGGTGGTCCATACCTGTAATCTCAGCACTAGGAAGGCTGAGGCAAGAGGATCGCCACCAGTTCGTGGCCAGCCTGGGATACTTAGTGAGTTTGAGGCTAGCACGAACTACATATTGAGACCCTGTCTCAAAAGACAAACAAGCAAAAACTAAACTGAATCCACTTTTCAAATTGCAGGAAGAAGATGTTAAAAATTATAAGCAACCATCCCGGTAATGGATCTCTGTCAAGAAAGTGAGACTGATTTAGAAAATAATGAAAAGAATGAAATTCAAAGCCCAGAAGAAACTGAACTAACCTTTACTTGCGCAGATGAAAGAAGTGAAAAAAATCATGTTTACTGTCTTCTCCACATCAGTGACCTTACTCTGGAAGAAGATACCAGAACCGACGAGTGTGTGATTGGCACTGGGTGGGAAGACGCTGTGAGTGTCTTCTTGACTTGGGTCTCTTCTCTTCTGTGTTTGATGCAAGCAATCCCCGCCCCCCAAATAGTTAATATTACCAAAAAGGTACAGTCAATGATATACAGAGTTCTTGGAACAGAGGTAAAATGTCACGGACGACAGTAGCAGTGTCATTGGGTATCTGTGGCTGCTCAGAATGTGGGCAACTTAGTACTGTGAGTTCTGTCAGGAAAGTGAGACTAATTTAGAAAATAATGAAGTGTTTCTGGGCATGGTGGTGCACACCTATGATCCCAGCACTTGGGAGGCTGAGGTAGGAGGATCTCCACGAGTTTGAGGCCAGCCTGAACTACATAGTGAGACCCCTGTCTCAAAAAAACCCAAAATCAAAACAAAGAAAATAATTAAATGTATGCACGCATTCAGTCACCCTCTTAGATGTCAGGAAGGCCTCCCTTTTTGTGTGAGGACTTTGAGGCAGAAGGTGAACTAATGGCCAACGATTGAACCCAGCCAGGATGTGGGTAGGCAGGGCTTGCATCCAAGTCTCCTGGACCCGGAACCTGGGCTGCTTTATCAAATATCAAACTCCTGGAGACCCTGCAGTTTCTGTCTTCATGATTCTCTGCAGGGCCCTGTGGGTTTATTCTTCACGTGTTCTTAGCATCAGGAAAAGAACCTACTGGGGAGATAGCTCAGTGGCACAGTGCCTGCCTGGCAGGCGAAACACCCTGAATTCAATTCCCAGTACCAAAAAAAGAAAAGGAAGGAACCCTAAGGTTAAGACAGTAAGGCAACTTGGTCAAATCTAAAATTCAATGTAGCCGGGTGTGGTGGCACAGTCCTGTAATCCCAGCACACGGGAGGCTGAGGCAGGATGATTGCTGTATGTTCAAGGCCCACCTGGGCTACAAAGTGAGCGCAAGGCCAGCCTGAACTGCATAGTGAAACCCTGTCTCAAAAAGACAAAAACAAAAACAAAAACCAATTCAATGTGAGGTTGTGAGATTAATCACTGCAAACAAGAATGCCTGGTAATTTTGAGATGCAGATGAATAATTGCTTAGTATTACATACACTGTAAGTACGTTCGTGTATTTTTATCTCAGAGCCTTATTTTAATGGTGACCTCTCAGCTGGGTCAGCCAAGGGGGCCCAGGTGTGAGGGGCTGAGGCTGTGCTCTGGGGACCTGGGTCCGGTGCTTGCAGGACCCTGTCCCTCAGCGCCGCTGTCCCTCCAGCTTCTCTGGGCAATGAGAACGCAGCCTAGCAGCCCAAGAAGCCCTTGGAGATGGCACAGGGACGAACACTTCTGGTTTTATTTTAGTGTATGTGCTGTCAAAGTGAGCATTTGATTTTATTTCAGTAGAGCTGAAATTAATGGGCATCTGAAAAAAAATATAATCGCACATCACAGTGGCCATTTACAAACACCATTGTCTGGGCTGGTTTTGAACTCACTGTGTACCCCGGCCTGGCCCAACTCACAGTGATCCTCCTTCCTCAGCCTCCTGCTAAGTGCTGGGATTACAGGTCTTCGCCACCACGCCTGGCTCAACAAATACTATTGTGTTAGCGTTCAGGATTAAAATGTGCTATTATAAACACTGTTACTCAATAAGAGGCCAAAAAAGGTATGAAATGGTATTGGGGTTTGGGGTTTGGTTTGTTGACACAAACTCACTATGTAGCCCAGCAGGCCTCCAACTCGAGGTGATCCCCCTGCCTCAGCCTCCCAATTGTTAGGATTACAGGTGTGCAGCACCATAACCAGGTCTAAAAGTTTTTTTGCTTTAAAGAGGAGCTGATTTTAAGAAAAAGATACCGGTTCACAATATCGTGGCCAAAACGGGGGTGTGGCCCAAACTGGGCCAACCAGAGCAGCTCCCCCAGAGGTGAACACGCTGCTTGCTTTGCAGGTCCAAGGCTGGGGTAAGACTGCTCCCACCGCCTGCGTCTGGCCCAGGAAGAAACCGAAAAAGGCGAGAGGAGGCGACAGCACCAGCAGCAGCTGCTTGCTCTGTACCAGCCTCTCCCCAGCGAGCTCAGAGGCGCGGTCCCCGGGCGAGCCCAGGAAGGTGGAGGCGGGGGCTGTGGCCCCGGCGAGCTTAGAGAGGAATCAGGACTCGAAGACTCAGGGGCCCTTTCGGGGCCCGAGCACGGCGCCCAGGGAGGCCGGCAGGGTGTGCTTTCCCTCCGACATCCCCGAAGGAAAAAAAAGCCTGCAAGTCAAGGAGTACACCTGGCGCGCGGAGGACTGGGCCGTCCCGGGAGTGAGGGGCGCGGCCGCCTCCCTGAGCTCCAAGGCCCTCCTGGTCCTGCCGCCCCTGAGACCCTCACCCCAGAACCGGCCCGCGGCTCCGAGTAGCAAGACTAAGAACTTTTTCTGCCAGTCCGAAGAGGAGGCGCCGAGCGTGGACAAGGAAGAGAGTGAGGCCTATGCACACGGATTGAAAACAGCAGACGGGAAAGCGGAGCAGAGACCCCCGGGGCAGGCCCGGGGCCGCCCGCCCAGCGATGCCCTGCCTGGCACTGCCCCTGCCCCTCTCCCTGCCCCTGCCCCTCTCCCTGCCCCTGCCCCTCTCCCTGCCCCTGCCCCTCTCTCTGCCCCTGCCCCAGCGGCCCGGTCACTGCTGGATGCGGAGCGGTGCCACCTGGGCTGGTCCCTGCTGCCCGCGCGGAGCTCTGGGTGCCCTCCGCACCCCGGCGCCCTCCCCTACCTCGCCACCTTGCAGCTCCTGCAGAAACGCGGCCTGCAAGGCTACAGAGACAGGCTCAGAGCCAGGGCCCTGGGCGCTCCCAGGAGCTCCCCGAAGCACGCTTTCCCAGCGGCAAGGCCGGGGGACGGGCCCCGCGTGCTGGAGACCGAGGTGCTACCGAGTTCTCTGCTGCCGACCCTCACCGTGAATAGAGTGGTCATCCCCGTCTCCACGCACAGAGTCCTCTGACTGTGACAATAGAGTTCCCTGAGGAGCACTGCCGGGCTCCGTGTCTCTGTCTGCCTCTTCCTCTCCTCTCCTGCCCGGTGCTCTGTCCTCCCCGCATCCCATCCTTTTGTAAAGCAGTAGAACTAGAGGAAGTTGAACCTCCCTCCTAGGATGGATTTGGATTTTGTCTCTAAAACACCATAGTCACGGTACCTGCTTCCGCAGCTCAGCCATTTGCAAAGGGCCATGCCCAGCAGAGGCCCTGAGGGAAGGTGGCCAGGTCCTCCCAGCTGACAGGAGCCCTCTGTCCTGCCCCAGAGCCCTCAGCTAAGCACCCCAGGTGGCTGCGGTCAAAGTGCTCCCGAGCATTTGAACCAGACAGTACCTGTCCGCTGCCTCCTTGGCTGTGCGACAAAGATTGGAGACATCACTAATAGAAACTTCTAGCCTGTGTCCAGCTGAAGGGCCTGCTGTCCCCGGTACCACGTCCAGGGGTGTACACTGCGCAGGGTCACTTCTGTGTCCCGGGGTCACCATCCCCTATCGTGTCCACGGAGTCACGCTGTCCGTCGTCTCTGGTATGTCTGGGAAAGTCACTTCCTCCTGTTGCTTCTCCTGTGGCCAGACTTTTGACAAAATCCAGCCTGGAAGTTGGGTTAAGAGTGATTAACCACTGGGAGAAGAAAGAGAAAAAGTCACTGCGATTCCCATGACAGCCGTGCCTCTAGTCGTTGGGAATCTGAGACCCTAGTCACTTAGGGGATTAGGGGACGAAGCCGTCACCTTTTCCTTTCTATCTTACTTCTGCCCTCATTTTATTTTCTCCCAATGCCTATTTTTCTTGAAGTTGAGTACGAATTAAAAATGTTACACTTGTAATGCCAAGTGGTGCTATGTTGACAGATTTTCTTTTTTTTTTTTTTTTTTTTTTTTTCCCAGTACCAGGGATTGAACTCAGGACCTTGTGCTTGCCAGGCAGGCACTTGTGCCACTGAGCTATATCCCCGACACGTTGACAGATTTTCTAAGGAACAGAAGCTCCTTTATAATCACACAGTTTGTTTGTTTGTTTCCGGTACTGGAATCGAACTCACGACCTCGTGCTTGCCAGGCAGGCGCTGTGCTGCTGAGCTAAATCCCAGCCCGCTGTTTTTTGTTGTTTTGTTTTGGTTTTTGTTTTCCGGTACCAGGAATCGAACTCATGACCTTGCACTTGCCAGGCAGGCGCTGTGCCACTGGGCTAAATCCCCAGCCCAAATCGCACAGTTTGAATGGCTTAGGTAGATAGATGTCTTAAACGCTGGGCTTTCCGTCTCCTACGTGACTAAGTAGACTGACGATGACTGTATTTGTAAACATGTGCTTTCACAACTGGTCTTCGTAAGGTCTGGTTTTTTGTTTGGTACCAGGAATCGAACTCACGACCTCCTGCTTGCTGGGCAAGTGCTGTGCCACTGAACTAAATCCCCAGCCCCTTGTAATATCTGTTACCCTGGGTATTTATTTATTTATTGTGATGTTAGAGGTCAAACCCATTGCCCTGCACAAGCTGGGAAACTGTGCCCCAGCTGTACCCCCAAGCCCTGGTTGGTTGGGTTAAGAAAACCAGCCCAGAATGATGATGGCACAACAGTCATTAGGCGGTGATTGGCCCACTGTAGTCCGACACTTCTCTGCAGTTTAGAAGAAATTTTTTAGGATTCTGTTTGCTTTCCTCGGTGAACAAGGAAACCACCTGGATTCTGTCTTAAAGAGGAAGCTTCTTTTCCGTTGTTTTAGAACATTGGGTGTTGGAGCCAGCACAGGCTGAGGACCTTCCAGCTCTGGAAGCCTCCCCACCTAAGTCAGCCTTTTTCCCAGCCCCTTTGTTTATTATTATTATTATTATTATTATTATTATTACTATTATTTTGGTTTTTGAGACAGGATTTTGCTCTGTGGTTCAGGCTGGCCTTGAACTTACTATGTAGCCCAGGCTGATACTCCTGCCTCAGCCTCCTGAGTGCTGGAATTGCAGGAGTGCACCACCATTCCCGCTTTCCCAGCCCCCTTTGAAAGGCAGTGGGGTGCTGCATCAGTTCATTCCGTCAGACTGTCAAGTGTGTTGGGGGGAGGGGCCAGGCCTCACTTACGCAGCCAGTGTACTCACCTTAACGGGAACTTAATGTGAAAATATTGAAAAGTCTTCTGTTCCGATAAGAGTTACAAATTTCACAGGTGTGTATGTTGTCAGAGACTGAACCCAGGACCTCGTGCTCCTTAGCCAAGCACCGTACCACTGAGCTACACCCTCAGCTCCACGTAATAGTGGAGAACTCAGAGGAGGACCAATCTGGACAAAGGGCCCACGTTTGGTAAAGATTTGCTGGGGGCCGGGTGTAGCTCAGCGTGTGCAGGGCCCTGGGCTTAATCCCCAGAACTCCCCCTGAGATTTACAGTCTCCTTTTGCAGTGAGCAGTTAACCCAGCAAAATATGGAGTAGCGACTCTTCTGCACAGATTGGGAATGGTTTGTGTTTGCACCTCTGCTCAGGTGGGTCAAGTAGCTGGTCAGGTCCCCCAGGAATTTCGTCTGCACCTGGGGTTCCGCTTGTTTCTCTGCCGATGAAGTCACTAGGCTTCGCGCCAGTTTCATTCGGATCTTAGGACGTGTACCTCAGTCCTCTGCTGTGCCAGTCTGGGTAAAGCTGACCTGTGGGGTAGGAGGCCGTTTCCCTTTGCGATTTGGACTCGCTCACCAGACGTCTCGGGGAAATCCTACGTGCTAGCGTAGGTGGCCGTGGCCGCTTCCTACCTCACGTGATGATCTCAGTCAGGTTTGGTTCCTCTGAGTTCTGCCGGAAACAGGCCTGGGGAGCTCACATGTTATTCCTTATTCTATTCTTCTTGGGTATGTCACCAATAAAAATTCCCACACTCTTGTTTTTCTTTTTTCATTTTTTGGGACAGGATCTCACTATGTAGCCCAGGCTGGCCTCTGACTTGTGGCAATTCTCCTCCCTCAGCCTCCTTTTTTTTTTCCCCTACTACTGGGAATCGAACTCATGACCTTGTGCTTGCCAAGCAGGCGCTGTGCCACTGAGCTAAATCCCCAGCCCCTTCCCTCAGCCTCCTTAGTGTGGGATTACAGGCCTGCACCACAACACTTGGCGACTTTTCCTAGTATTTAACTTCCTCCTTCTTATTTGGAACTTCATCCAGTGTTGTCAGATTTTCCTGGGCGTCAAAGGCCTTGCTATACAAAGTTTTGAACCCAGAATCCAATCTGCTTTCATTCTCTCCCGTAGTGACCACAGCAGCCCAAGTCATCTCACCGCGGGCGCCCCCAGCTGGCTGAGCGGCGCGCTGCACAGCTCAGGCCCACATCCGGGCTTTTCCCGGTGCCTGGGCCCTCTCCCTTCCCGGTTTTGGGGTCACTGATAAGCAAACCAGGGAAGAAAGCAGCAGCCGGGCGTCTCCTGTCCCGCGGGGAGCCCTCCTGGTGTCTGCCAGCCGAGCGGGAGCTGCGGCAGCGCTCTGCTCTTGACTCACCCCAATTTTGCGAGCGCGTGTTGCTGGCTTTGCAGAAGTGAGGGGCCCGGCCTGAGGTCCTTCCTGTCCTGGCGTCTTAGCGCCTCACTCGCTGCAGACCTTAGGAGCCCTTAGGAAGCACAGCGCGGCGAGGGTCCTCCCGCCCCAGCCTCCAGACTTGCTGTGCGCCCGGGCTTTTCCAGTGCGAAGAAAAATACAAACAAAAGCCCCAAGATTGCAATGGATAGCAAAAACCTTAAGGAGATTTAAAAATCCATTTTTTTTTTTTTTTTTCCCCCGGAGGCCTCCGCCTGCTGCCAACACTTTCTGCACCACGCACGCAGCTCGGCTGAGGCTGCAGCAGCCCGAGTTGCGCCCAGCCAGGCCGACCTTAGCTGTCACGCCCGGGCCCGGATGGCTCTGGGCAGGCGCTGTCCCGTGTGCGCTGCGCTGGTGACAGCGTCCCCGTCTCACCGAGCCTGGGACCCTGGATGCGGCGGCACCCGCAGGGCACCGGCAAACGTGTGTCCAGCCCTGCCGCGAGCGCCCTGCGGCCCACGCCGCCCCGGGGAGAGCCGCTGCGTGGGGAAGCCCTGCCTGTGCGGGCGGCTTCTCAGACAGACCTTCTCACCCAGAGGCAGAGGTCTCGGCCTGGGTGCCAAGGGGAGGTGAGCAATGCCCGGCTTGCTTTGTCCCCGAAAGTACAGGTGTCGCCCTGCTCCCAGTGGTGTTCCGGTCCGTCAGGGTTTCTGCTGCACCTGCTCAGTGTCCTCTGGAAAGAGGACCGCAGATGAGCAGCCTCTTCCTAGGAACAGCAAAGGCCATTCAGGAAGAGCTGTAGGAATCCCTCCCTCTGCCCTTCTCCTTCCTCCCCCTCCCTCCCGTCCTCCCCCCTTGTTCCTCCCTCCCTCTCCCTTCTCTTCTCCTCCTCTTCATCCCTCCCTCCCTCTCCTCTCTCCCCTTCTCCTCCTTCCCTCCCTCTTCTCCCTTCTCCCTCCCCCTCCCTCCCTCTTCTCTCTTCCCCCTCCCTCTCTTCCTCCCCTCCCTCCGTGGTACACGCCTTACTGTTTTGGGAAGCTTAGCAGGGTGATCCTGAGATGTCAATACATTTACATTCAGGATGTTATTCAGAAGTCTGTTTAAGCAGCATTCTCTTTTGCACATTGTGTGTGCTAAATGGATTTTGTAAATACTAAGAGGCAGCCAATATGCTATGTGACACGGCTGAGTGACCTCTGGCAAACCTCTACTTTTGATGGGTAGCTGGAAGGGAATTTTTTTTTTTTCTCTTTAACCCAACACCTTTTTTCCTACTTTTTTTTTTTTTTTTTTTTAAGTGAAGTTGGGCATCGTGGTGCACACCTGTAATCCCAGCACTCGGGAAACTGAGGCAGGAGGACTTCTATGAGTTTGAGGCCAGCCTGTGCTACACAGGGAGAACCTGTCTCAAACAAAACAAAAAACAAAGGTGAAACTAATTTCTGTTTTTTGACACGTGAGGACAGTGATCCTGACAGCATAGGAATCTCATTCTCAGCACTTTAAAAGGGTCTTGACTATTCACTAGGCCTCTGTCCACTGTCAGTCATTCCACTTTTATTTAGTTTTTGGTCTTTTTGAGACAGAGTCTCGCTATGCATTTCAGGCTGTCCTTGAGCTCACTTTGTAGTCCAGGCTGGTCTGGAATACACAGTGTTTCTCCTGCCTCAGCCTCTTGAGTGCTGGGATTACAGGTGTGTGTCACGCCCAGCCAATTGCATTTATTTTAATCTGCATGGACTCTGAACAGAAATAGACTCAAACATTGAATTTGGGGTAAATACCACCAGCCCTATCTCTTAATTTCTTTGGTGATATTCTCAAATCCTCATGACTGGTTTCTCTAATGTAAATTTCAGGAAAACAGCAAGTCAGAGAGATACCATTATGGTAGCTATTTAGAGAGATCTTTTTTTTTTTTTTTTTTTTGAGACAGGGTCTGGCTACGTAGTTCAGGCCAGCGTTGAATTTGCAGTGATCCTCCGGCCTCTGCCACCTGGGATTGCAGGCGTGCACCACCCCGCCCAGCCTAGAGAACTTTAAAGAGTTATTTCTTAGGCACATATCTTTTTACAGAGTAGTGCTTTCAGTGGGTTTAAAATATACCAAATCTAAGCCATCTCCCCCCCAAAAAGGTCCAAGAGAAAACAGAACTGATACCAGCTTGCAGTTTATGAACAGTACTAGATTTTCAAGTATAGAAAAGTAAAAATTACTCCCATGAACTACAATAAGAGAATATAGAATAAATAATTCCTAAAGCACAGTTTACCAAAGGTGGGGTTGTTATCTGGTGGGCCAGCAGGGTTTCCGGTTCTTGTTGTCCCATTCAGGGCACTGATCAGGCCGACTGGTGAATGGGTTGGTTTGTTTGTTTGTTTACTGGAGAATAAGGGCACTTTCTCTGTGCCTCCTTTTATTAGTCAAAGGAATCGCTCAGATGTCCTCCTGCAGATGGCTTCTGGGTCCCCTTGGGTCAAACTGAGCTCCCGTCCAAACTAAAGCCAGTCCCTGAAAGCAGCGTAAGTCTACAGGCCAGTTTACACCGGGCAAAATTCGACATAATTCATCCCTCCAGTCCAGCAGAATAAACCCGGGGCTCTGTGGGCAAGGGAGAAGAAAAGGGTGGGTGCTGGGTAGGTACTGTCTGGCCTAAGATACTGAAGGATAAAATCCTGACACTGGAATGAAACCTGAACTGAGCGAGCTGTGTATCTTCCACTGGAACAGTAGTTCTCAGTGAGGGACTGTATCATCGGCGGAGGCATTTTTGTGCGTCACAGCTCGGGAGAACTGCTGGAATCTCGTGGGTCGAGGCCAAGAATGTGCTCCACTTCCCTACAATGCACAAGACAACTCACAGTGAAGGGTTGCCCGCCCCTGATGTCCACAGTGCTGAGGTGAAATTGAAAGAACTTTTCTATGAATGTGTGTCTGTGTACAGCTACATATAACTCACTGACCTGGACAACTGGTCAGCGTGAAAGACTATCTGTAGGCAGAAACAGGAAAAGGAAAAGCGGGGCGCAGAAGAAGCGCTCAAGGAGAAAAGAATGCTTTGAAGGAAAGAGAAACAACGGACCACTGCAGGACACAGAAGACAGGGCGGTGGCCGAGTCCGTCGCTGCGGGCTTTTCACCTCTTCTCTGACGCTGACCCAGGCAGCCCCACCCGACCCTGCGCAGACTGATGCCAGGTGCAGGGTCCAGGCGTCTTCCTGCCCGAAGATGGGCACCACGCCCGACCCTCCCGTGGCAGGGTGATTTCCCAGAAGTGAAACATAAAATTCTTGATTTGGGGGGCTTTCTTAAATGGAAATGTTATCGAGGCAAGTTCTGATAGTTAAACATCCCTTTGGGACAGGCTGATTCACCTGCACTGACTTGTGCCAAACAGCAGCAGCCGGAGAGAGTAAAGTAGGAGCGGGGTCAATTCCAAATCAGCCCAAAGCAGCAGTATGTGTGAGATGCGCTCATAAAACCAAGTATTTCACCTAGGACATGGAAAAAGCAGTGGATCACCAGAGAGCAGAGGAAAATGCTGCGAGCAGAAGCAGGGAGAAGATGCCAGCCAGGCATGGTGGTGCACGCCTGTAATTCCAGCACGCAGGAGGCTGAGGTTTTTACCTGGAGGCATCAGAAACATGCTGATCTGGCCCCCTGCAGATCAGTGAGTAAGTTCAGAGCTACCCATCTTCCAGCCTTGAGTTCAAGGTCAGCCTGTGGCACATAGTGAGTTCAAGGCCAGCCTGAACTACATATCACGTCCCATCTCAAAGAAGTCTTTGCTTACATTGAGGTGATATATGTACTTCTGAGAATAAGAAGTCACTTGGGAGATTATTTCTCCCCCCTTTTTTTTTTTGAGACTGGGACTCAAACTCATGATCTTGTGCTTGCCAGGCAGGCTCTGTGCCACTGAGCTATATCCCTGGCCCCCTAAATTTTTTTTTTTCAAGTTTTAGAAATATTTGACTACTTCACTGATAAACTAATGAGAGAATCACTTTAATTTTTTGTTGTTCTTTTTGCAGCCTTCTATCCTATACTATTAACTTGCTTCAGAGTAAAGTACCAAAAAATGAACAGAAGGGCCATAGCAATAAGTTTCTCATAGGCAGCCTATGAAACTTGTGAATTCTGAACAATACAACAGATGCTTTAATTTTGCTACTTATTAGGCAGGCAATATAAAATTTATTTTTCCCCAAATTGTTGAAAGAATTAAATTACTGGTAATCTAGTTTGATTATAGATGGTGTTGCTTGTATTCATTTACATAGTTTGGGCCTTGTTCCTTCCAACAATGCTTGTTTGTTTTGTTTTGGAGACAAAGTCTCAGTGTATAGTTCAGGCTGGCCTTGAATTCACTATGTAGCACAGGCTGACCTCCAACTCACAGGGATCCTCCTGCCTCAAGCCTCCTGAGTGCTGGGATTACACATGTGTGCCACCAGGCCTGGCTAAAAATGTTGGTGTTAAAATGGAGCCCATGTTAGTTAATTTCAGAGTCCAGGCTTGGTGCTGTACGCCTGTAATCCCAGCACTGATGTGGGAGGCTGAGACTGGAGGATCACTGTGAGTTGAAGCCCAGCCTGAACTACAAAGTGAGACCCTGTCTCAAAAAACCAAACCAAATCAAACCAACAAAAAAAACCCTCAGAAAACTCCATTTGCTCTTTAGCCTGTGTCTCTTGATACATAAACTTGATACATATCAGGGTATCTGCTAATAAATACAGTTCCAGCAACTGAATCCTGTGGATTTACTTATTTTTGGTGCTGGGGATTGAACTGAGGGCCTTGCACACAGTAGGCAAGTGCTGTACCACTAAGCTATAACCCCAGCCCTTTGTGAATTTATTTTCATTTATTTATTTTGAGACAGGGTATTGCTGTGCACTTTGGGCTGGTCTTAACTCACTCTGTAGGCTGGTCTCAAACTTGCAACAATCCTCCTGCCTCAGCCTCCTAAGCACTAGGATTATAAGTGTGCACCACCATGCCTTGCTCTATCCTGTGGATTTAAACACTGCAAAGCAATGAAGTCATTTTCTTTAGTCATAAGAATATTTCACTAGCCAGCATGTTGCTGAAAAAGTAGATTAAGATTCATCTCATTGTAGTCATTTAGATGCTGAGGGGTATCTGTTGAGTGAGGATGATTTCAAGTTTGAGTCTAGCATAGGTAATTTAGCGAGACCATCTCAAAATAAAAACACTTAAAAAGGGCCACAGATGTAGGCAGCTCACGGTGAAGTTCCCAAGTACTACTGCAAAAGAAATACACAAATAAATAAACCAGCTACATGGTAAAAGCTCTTGGATCAGTATGAGCAGGTTTGGACAGACTTACCTGAATATTTTGAAATTGAAGCCATAGGGTTAAATAAAAATGACCCTGTCATTTGCCAGTATTAGTAATGGTGACCTCACAGCTAGACTGGTGCTGTGCATTTTCTTCAAATGAAAAAGTAACTTCAAACTGCTCTCAGCATCTTTCAGGTAAGTCTACACAGTATTTTGTTTGGTTTTTACCTGGAAGAATCAGAACATGCTGATCTGGCCCCGAGCAGATCAGTGACTAACTAAGTCCAGAGATACCCATCTTCCAGCCTTTGTGTCTGCTCTCCAGCCAGAACCATGTTATTTACAGGGGTCCAAGGCAGTGGCTGTCAGAGATCACATCTAATGATGTGGGAGCTGGAGTAAATTCACTGACTAGTCAGGTGTGGTGGCGCGTGCCTGTAATCCCAGCACTCGGGAGACAGGAGGATCTACAGAGTTCGAGGCCAGCCTAGGCTACACAGCGAGTTCAAAGCTGGCCAGAACTACATAGCAAAATCCTGTTTCAAGAAAGAAAAAAAGAAAAGTCCTAAGGTGTAGTCTTTAGGTACATCAAAATAGAAACCAGTAATAGTACCTTTCCCAGGAAAATTGTTAGCATTTTTCCATGAACAAAGGCAAAACAATAAAGAAAATAACAGCAACAATCATTTCATCATGTAATTTTTAGAAAACTGAATTTGTAAAAACTTAAGGCAACACATTAAGTCATGTCAGGAGTGGGTCGAAGAATTCACACAAAAAGGCAGAATACTCACTTCTGTTTAATCACTGGATCTCAGTTTTACAAACAATCTTAGGACAAACCAGCTGACTAAAGTTTGGGGAGAAACAGCTCTTGCACACGAAGAACAACTACATGCTCCATTTTTCTGTAAATAACTATGGGCCGAGTTAACCAACATTTTCACAGACACACAGAAAAGGTTTAAAGCCATAGATCACTGCATTGATATTTACAAAAAGCCATAAACCAACATGCATTTCTCCTTTATCAGGATGACTTAAATAGATGTCTGGACATTAAGGCAGTGACAAGTCTAAAACAATGACAAGCTAAGTTAAGGCTTTATGTTTGAAACCCACGCTCATAGGCAACTGCAATCGAAGCACACTTATCTAACAGGTTGAGCTCGTCTATCTGCCCAGGTGGTGCCCATGCATTCATTACCATTCTTTGTATCAGCTGGATGGATGGGCGTTAGGAGCACGCAGCACTCCACGCATTTACTGTCAGGAATCATTAGTTGCTTCGGTTTTGAGGAGTTAGCCCTCTGCAGCACAGGCGCAGCCACAGAGAGAGCAGAGCATTCTGGAGCAACCGTAGGGACCTCACAGGCGGGACTGATTCTCACCCTCCTGACAGCTGGGCAACCGTTAAGAAGTCAGGACCTGGGTACAAAGAACCGGTGAAGCATACTTGACCGTGTGCTTGGCTCAAAACACAGAACATGTTCTTGAAGCAATAGGTTTCCTTCTTCTTCATTTTCTTTGAAGACTATCTTACTCTTTAAATAAAGCAACAATAAGCAGAATACCATATTTTGGATGGAACTATTGTGTAACTGTTAGCCTCAAGGCACAAAATATATCCTTGACCAATGTGTTTCCTTATTTGAGGACAAGATGAGTGGTGGATGGAAGGAAAAGCCACTTTAAAATGATCGTAGATTGCACCCTTGTCCCGTAAAGCTTTGAAGTGTGAAGCAGTGAAACCTGGGTATGGGGGGCCATGTCCTTTTCAGCATAAGGAGGGACAACACCAGGAGGCAGCGGGCACCGTGGACGGGAAGCAGCTCTGGAGCCCACGCCGGCCTGCCGTGGAGAGCGGGATGTTTGTGGATGTGGTGATGTGTCATGAACACTTGGCCTTCCTCCTTGGCACACACCATGTAAACGCCCCGTAATCTCTGCAGTGTTCGTTGCTGTTGCACTATAATGCGATCGCTGGTCGCTGGCGGTCCCCAGAGAGCTTCAGGAAGGGACTGGGCACAAGGGAGACCCAGCATGGTTAGACGGCTGGGCACTTTTCACTTCACTTCTTTCCAGCCTTCAAGGAGGGGAAAGGAGCTGCAGGTTAAGCTGACCACCGAGGCCAATAATTTAATCAACCACACTCACGTCATGAGGCCTCCGGAAGAACCCGAGAGAACTGGGTTCCAAGAGCTTCGCACAGCTGAACCAGCGCATGGTGCTCCTCGAGGGCACAGCTCTGTCTCCTTCCCACTCACCCAGGGCATTTTTCATCTGTATCCTCTCCAATACCCACGGCCCGGGTTTCCCTGAGTTCTGCGAGCTGCTCTAGCAAATGAATCAAATTGAAGGAGGGAGTGATGGTAACTCCAGTTTCTGGCTGGCTGCTAGACCTTCTGGAGAGCAGACTGCAGGTGGTGTCAGAACTGGATTGCCCTGGGTCACCCAGCTGCAGGGCAGCTTGCTGCATGGAGGAGACCCCGTACCATTGGTCACGGATGTCTTCCCGATTGATGGTGGTGCAAGAGCACGGGGAGGCATTTTACTCTTAAACCAGGCTCAATTGCATCCCCGAAGATGGGGCTGAGAGCTTCGCTATTTATGCTAAGCGCCGGCTGCTCCTTCTCTAGGCAGTAATTTCACAGCAACAACTCTCTGGTGAGGCAGGACCGTACCCAGCATCAGTGATCACTCATGAGACAGGACGGCAGTGACTTCAAGAAAACTGCTGCAAAAATTTACATACAGAGAGCTGTGGTTTCCCGCGGTGTTTGAGGAGAGAAGAGAGGGGAGGAGATGGCAAAGCGGGTACAAGGACAGCATCGTCAGGAGCATTTCAGGCGCAGTTTATGTGTGCTACGCTTGGCTAAAATTAACCGGAAGATGCAAGAAGTCTGCACCCCAGTACCGGGAAGCTTGGCTTCAGCTACCTGGCTGTATGCGTTTGACACAGGATGGAAAGACCAGCTGTGAAAGCGCAAATGTAGGCAACATGAAAACATTTTCAGATCAACATCTCACACTTTATAATACACTCACATTTATACACGAACTGTTTACAAGTACAAAAGGAAAAGAATCGCGAAGAACCTAAGCAACTGTGTCATGGACTACATTCAACAGAGTTAATACTGTCATCCCTGTTCCCCGTTTTCTTTTTTTTTAAGTCTGGGAGGAGATGGCAAACGCCACCCACACTGGCCTGATCTTTAGAAGTTGTGCAGCTCAGCACACGTCTGGGTTTCTACGGAGCTGAACTGAGACTCCATGGTGTTCCAGGCCAGATCGGCCAGCAGGAAGTCGTCCATGGCTGTCTGCGTTTCGTTGCTGGTGAAGAACAAGCTCCCCAGTGCCTCCAGGCTCGACCTGCTGGTCTGCGTCTCGGCGCTGTTCAGCTGCACCTTGCTCTCCAGAGCAGGGCCATTTCGGGTGGCGGAGAGGGCCTCCGTCTGGGTCTCGGTGTCGGACGAATCGGTACTCATGGAAAAGCTGGAGTGTTTCAGGATGCTGCCGAGGGGCAGGTGAGGGCTGCTGTCCAGGAAGAAGTTTAAGTCCGTCTGGGTCTGCGTGTCGAACATCTCGAGCCCTAGGAAGTGGGCGCCGGCCCTGCACGCATAGGGCGGCGCAGACGGGTCTGTAAGGAAGAAGTCAGTCTGGGTCTCGATGTCCAGCGACTCCAGGACTGGCTCCGTGTGCATGGCGCCCAGGCCGCTCTCCTCAGTCTGGGTCTGGGTGTTGGAAGCCGAGAAGAACTCTTCAATATCAAAATCGATGCTGGGGTTCTGAGCGGGGCCAGAGGGGAGCGGGGTGTCGGGCCCGGGGTTGGTGTCAGACAAAAGCCCACGGCTGTCCAGCGTCTGGCCGGGCAGACTGCTCGACAAGATATTTTCTAAGTCGCTTAGGAGATCTATGGTCTGGGTCTGGTTATCAGTCATGTTCTGAGAGGGAAGCAGACCGCTCTGTGCACTGAAGTTTAAGATGGGGGTGGATTTCTCCATCCCTTCGCTGAGAGCCTTGGGGCTGCTCTGAGGTAACAGGCTGTGAGGGACGGGCTCTGCTACTAAACTGCTGCTCATCACGCTGTCCGTGGGAACGCTGTATGAGGAATGGACGCTGTCAAAGATGTCCCCACACATCCCGGCTTGGTCCATCTGCAGCCGGTGGTCTGGGGGCCTGGGCACCCCGCAGGTCTGGGTCTCCCTGGAGACCCCACCTGGCTGGAGGCAGGCGTCAGCGAAAGCGTCCGTCTGCGCAGCGATGGATGACACCGCTTTCGAGCCGGGCACAAGCGTCTGAGTGTGGACACTAATGGGAAGGGACACCTGCGAACGAAACGACAGGTCAGTTTGTGAGCAAGACGACACGGAGGAGTCAGGGCCGACCCACGGAGCAGAGGGGACCACGTGCTGCGAGGCACAGGACAGATCCGTCTGCACGTTGATAGACGAGATGCTGTTCCTCGGACAGGGGCTCCCTAGCTCGTGGGAAGGGCTGAGACACTTCCCCAGGTTCACCTGAACACCTGTACTAACCGGCTCAACACCAGCATTTACAACTTTCGAGAAAGGCAGGCTCTCCTTCACGGAGCACGCCTCGGAATCCAGGCCGAGGATCAGGGCCCCCACGGACAGGGGCACCAGGTGCACGGCACTCGCTGCCGAGCCCTGATCGACTCCCAGCACCACGGGCTGGGTCGAAGAGTCGGCTGTAGGCACAAAGAGCGGCACAGGCGACAGCTGCATGACCGGAAGCTTCACCAGAGCCACCTTGGGCTTCGGTAAGAGCAGTTTCTGAGGGCATCGTGCAGGTGTGGTGATGCTCTGCTTCCTGGAGCCGCGCGAGTCCTCAAGCGAGGCTACGAGTTTTATGTCTTTAGTCTCCAGTTCCTGGGCGTCTGGCCGAGGGTTTGGCTGGCTGCTGAAGGATTCGATGGTATTTGTGGACAACTTCTGGTTCTGCAGGTAGTTTTCCATTTTCCTTTTTTTACTAGGTGGATCCCTGAAAAAAATGACAGCAGTTTAAAGCACAGCCTTCTTTGACCAGGCTGCTTCTCACATCGGAGGTCAGACTCTACCCAGAAACCGCCCTTGCGGCAACCCTGAGGACGGGGGCCATCGTGGTGGGAAGACCTCCAGGACACGTGCAAACAGGGAAGGAGGAACTTTTTTGAAGGCTGTGAGTACCAGAATTCAACCTGGAACTTTACTGTAACCAATCAAAGGTGGACCTTTAGCACGAAGTACAGATACAGGGGGAAATGCCCTCTCTAGCAGTCTGATTCTCAGAGTTGGCATTTTCAAATGGGAATAGTAAGAGACCCTCTCGGAGGATGAACAAAACAAACAGGAGAAGCAGTGCCAGATGTGGGGGCACGCGCTCGTACTGCGAGCACTCAGGAGGCTGGGGCAGGGGATGATGAACTCGAGGCCTGCCTGGGCTGCACCGTGAGTTCAAGGCCAGCCACAGACTACAGGGTCAGACCCTGTCTCACGAGGGGAGGAGGGACCGCCACACGAAACAGAAAGCAAAACAAAGCAATGGAACAGGAGGAACAATTGGGTCAGGAGTCTACGCCCGGATACGGATACGGACCGCTGCCATTTCTGAGAGCTGCCCCTTCCCCGCGGCCCACTCTTCCCTCCTAACCCGGCCGCCGCCTCTCCCGAAGTGCAGCGGGCGCTGCCCCGCCTCACCTGTGCTCCGCCGGGATCTCGTGGCCCGTGCGGTAGATGTGCGACTGCAGCGCCGTCCTGCTGGCGTAGGGGCAGCCGCACGTGCACTGGAAGGTCTTGCCGCAGTCCTCCGCGTGCCTCTTCAGGTCCCACTCTGTGCCGTACGAGTTGCCGCACTTGGCGCACTTGTGCTTCTTCTCGGCGTGCATCTTCATGAAGTGCTGCGGAGGGCACGGGAGGCGGGCGGCTGAGGAACGCACCCTCACGGCCAGCGGCCCCCCGGCCCGC